TGCTTGCTTAACTATTTGCTGAATTTACTATGATTTGGAGAGGAACTATAAGGCCGAAATAGGTGAGCAAAAAAAAATCAGCTTAAGTCCCCCCTTTATACTAACCGAACAAGGCCAAATTGTTTGGACATGAATTTGCATAGACGTGGCTATTCTTTAAGCATGACATTTGCTAGATAATTGTGTGTCTTATGGGTGACTAATCACCCCTTAAATCCCCTCTTGATGACCGTGCAAATGCTTAAAATGGAAGGAAAATCACTTCCTTCATGCTTAGAGCATCCACAATGCTTTGGGTCTCTTTTTGCATATGTGGCAAATAAATAGACTTAAGTCCATAATGACATGGACAAACCTAAACTAAAAAATCCAAAATCTATCCAATGCAAAACAAAAAAGTACTAGGTCTAGAATACATGACAACCAATAAAAATGCTCTAGTATATTTCATTTATTAAAAGAAAAATTAAATGAGGAATAAATGATGAGTGCTTGGGTTTGTACTTGGGTCTAAAATAGACCCAAGTGTGGACTAGGTCTCATTTTTTTATTGCCACATAAGCTAGACTAGGTCCACTTTTAATTGCATTGGAGAACACTTTTTTATAGACTAAGTCTATTTCTTACATGGCATGTAACTTTTTTCTAAGAAACCCAAAGCATTGTGGGTGCTCTTAGGAAATTAATTACAAATTTGGGAAAAATTCCTCACAAAATTCCGTACGGCACTTACATGAATTTGGGACATTCCATACGGTTTAATAAACTTTAATTAGTGATTAATATTTAATTAATCACCTACTTATGCTTAATTAACTTTTAAACATAATACTTAATTACCAAAATTATTCCGAACGTAAACGGTACGTCGAAAATAATTTTCGGTAATCTCGACTGAAAATAATTAATTCCGAAAATTAATATTCGACAATATTAATATATCGGAACTAAAAACATGATTAACATGACGGGATATCGCTGACTGAATAATTAATTCCGGACTCATTAATTAATTAAACGAATCGGAATTAAATTTGGAATCTTATTCGGTTACTAAAATAAGTAAACCGAATAACTTATCGACTAATAGTCGAACATAGAATATAACTGACTGATTAATCTGAACTTGAACATGAACATGATGTTGTTATTATTTTCAATGTTTACATTAGTATGAGTTTCCAAGGAGCACAGTGTCATAGTGCTCACTTCCCACTTTTATCATGTTTTTCAGGTCAGGACGTCGGGCCGGGAGCGTGAGATGACGGATGCTTCAGGACTTTTATGTTATGATTGTATATATTTTGACGATATCACGTTTCCGCTGACTTTAATGTTGACGAACTTATCTTTTGATCAGATTTCGGAAAAATTTATGCTTTCAGTAAACAGTATGATTTTATTAAAAATTAAAATAACGGTTTTACAAAATAAGTCATGTTTTACGGTAGCACCCCGAATCAGTTTTCGCAAAGTAAAATATTTATTTTAAATAACTTTGCGAAATTTTCGCACTCTGATTTCACGATAAGGCGGGGTGTTACACATTCAGCCGTTGAATAAGACCTCAGTCCAATCACTCAACAGTCTCAATGGAAGGCAAGCTGACATGAGTTGGATCCTCGCTCAAACAATGAAATTCTCTTAAGCGCTTGGAATTTCTTTTCCACATCAATGCATTCATGAGTTGGGGTAAATATTTCAATCCTCTTTAATACTCGAGAATTCCTCAAAAGATATCTTACCATGTCAAATTCAAGCTCACTGAACCGCATCGACGTAAATGTTATCCTTAGACATGATAATAGACATTTAGGCACTTGTTCGGACTTCGGACACAAATATACCCCGTCAAAATAAACCTCCCGACACTAAAGGAACATACCAAAATGAGTAAAATAAAAGAAGAAGCTCTTGTTGTAAGAAAAACGAGAAACGGCTAAAGGAAAATTTAATTGCATCAACGATAAACTCAACTTACAATAAGGACTTGAAGATTATCAGCAACTTCAAGGAACTTTACAAGCAAACTCCAGTTGATGCCCAATTGGAGTTCAAATTTGGTTAAATTATCAAACTTTACATTTGAAAAACCAAGTCCTCTACGAAGTAACTGAAAAAATCAAAACCACATTACGCATATATATAACAAAGCCGAAAATTAATTAACACGAGGACTAAGGGATTGAAGAATGAAAATATACCTCCTCAAATTTCCAACCTGATATCTTTAGGCACTTTACATAAGACAGAGAATGAAGAAACTTCAACAGCATGGAACTATAATTTGTTTTGAGATCTGAGAAGGAATAATTTTTTAAGCAGATATCCGCATCAACTAAAAAGATCATGGTTATAGGAATTGTTACACGCTCAGGGGCGGCTCTTGGGCCTGTCAAACAAGGCTTGTGCCTAGGGCCTCAAATTTTTAAGGGCCTCTTATATATATATATTAGATGTTATATATTTGTGTTGGGATTGGCCTAATATATTTACATAAGTCCATAAGGAAAATTATGTAACTCCCTTTCTAAAAAAAAATAGTTTATAAAATTAGCATCCTCAAAAACCATTTACT